CAGGCTTTTCACTCAGAAAGGCAGTTCAAGCCCAAGCCACGGAGTCTACCACATCATTAGGGGCATGCTCTTGCAGCCAAGTCTTTGCTGCTACAAAGACTCTGTGATGTTTCTCTGTGTTAAGCAAGATGAGGAGGAGCTGCCCGCAGTTATCCCAAGCGGGCTGATGGGTTTGAAGAATAGATTCCATGAGCTCTATGATTGCCTGAGGCTGTTCTGAGTAATGGGTTGTGTGGCATTTCCAATTAAAGCAACTCAGTGGTGAAAAAAGGCTGATAATGTAACTTTGCTTTCCCCTGCATAATAGCCCAGTCTGCCCCTATCAGAGGAGGCCCTTGGGTTTCTTACAAGGGCATCTGAAGGTTCAGGTTTCTCAGGCTGTAGCAGCTCGCCAGGTGATCACAGGGGAGTCCATATCTGGGCATGCAATTCTGGACATATTGCGGCCTCTCCCCTGCATGGGCTGAGCTACTGCCGGTCTCTCATGCTCCTGCTCCTCTGGTAGCTCCCGTGAGACAGATGGAAGCAGAGTTTCAATCACTGGCTCAGCAGGGACAGGGGCATAAGGGGGTGGAGCAGCTAAGGGCTCCTCTTCAGGTGTGACTTGCAAAATAGGGGCTCAAGCCAGGGATTTCTTTTACTCAGAGGCCAGCATGTATGGCATGACACGGGTGGCCAGAAGAGTACATTGATTCTTTCCTCTAACACAAATCCGTGCCCAGGGCGGAACGATCTGGGAGACATGTAACCAGGAGTTAGCATAAGGAAACTGGTCAGGGTGGCCTGAGGTGCCAGTACTCTCATTGCACATTGCCCATACTGTGGGTAAGTGGAGAGTGCCTTCTGATGGCCACCCCACCTTAAAAGAGGGCCATTCAACTTCACAGAGAACTCTAAGCCTCTCCGGTTTCAATTTAACTCCATAATCACCAGAAAAGAACCTTTTCAAAGTTAGACAGCATATAGTCCAGCACAGTGGGCTTAGAAGATTTGGACTGAGGTTTTCCCATTGTATCTTGATTTTCTATGACTTTTCAGCTGTTAGATGGCTGTACTTTCCAAAAGACATGGGAAATCACAGGTTAGAGAAAGTGAAAGTGTTCAGTCAGCAATGGCTCCTGGGGGCAGGTCTCAACCCAGAGTTTAGAAAACTGTTGCAGTCTCCTGTGTGTGTGGTGGGGGGGGGAGGGGGGATGTTGTTTAAAGGGCCAGTAGATATATTATTTTTCCTCCTAAGGGTGTTTTAGCTGCAGGCTGCAATCAGATGGATCACAGCAGTTTTTCTCAGAGGTCCCATTTCTTGTGCTTCCTATGGTTGATCTTCATTGCTAGAATTTGATGCCTGTCCTTTCTTTTCCTAGGTAGAGGGGGCAGGTTCAGCTCTGTAGTGGAAATCTTTGTAGGAAAGTCAGGACAGGGTCTCAGGAGGGTGTCTTTCATCAAGAGTTGAGAGAAACTCATATCCCAGTTGCCAGAGACAGAACTTGTATCCTGACCCCTACTCTGCTATCCACGTCTACAGGGAAAACCCTCCCAACAGTCCCTGTGTTCCCCCTCCTGTCAACATTGTCTCAACACAAAGGTTGAGTGTCCTCCTCAAAGGAAAAACCATTCAGGTGTCTTCCTGGCATGTCCCTTGCGGGCTTTGTGTGTTTCCTTGACAATAGGCAGTTGGATATAGAACCTCCACCAGATTACACAGGTAGAGAGAAAAGGGGGCCCTCAGCATGTAATACCGCCACTGAGTCTTTATGGAAACACCACAGAAATGCCGTAACAGATTCACTTCTGTTCCACGGTGCAATGCACTGTGGGACTACAAACATTCTCTCTCACACTCACATTCACTAAGAGGTTACACATTCCCTCCCCACACCAATCGAATTACCATAGTTGGCCAGAGGCCAACAATTAGCAAATGGGCCTCAGCCCCTACTGCCCATCTTGCTACCAAAGGAGAGAGTATGAGTCTCCTCTTCCACTCTTTTTTTTTTGGAGAGCTTTTTGCTATAGGGTGTGAGCACTCGCCAGAAAGACAGAGAGAGAGACAGAGAGACAGGAAGCGAGAAATCACCCCCCAGGGGGGATGGCCATGCCGCAATCCCTTCTCCTCCTTTCTCCTCTCGGGATCTTGGGCACATACGCACACGTGCCTGGTGTGAGTTTAAGCCACCGAGTCCGGGACTCGAACCACGGTCGACTACATGGGAGTCCAGCAACATAGCCATTACACTAACTGTTGGTCCCATCCTCTTCCACTCTTAAGTGAGTGGGCTGACTGATAGAGGATGAGTCCTGACTGCCGGCCTTGCAACCGAAGGAGAGTGTACCATTCTCCTCTTCCACTCTAACTGAGTGGGCTGACTGATAGGACTCTCCAGATCCCCCCGGGGGCTTGCCTGATTACAGAGCTGACCACTGAAGATGCATCCAGGTCCAGAGTAAGAGTTGGTTCTTCTCTCCAACTGGAGTCCGATGGTTCAGTAATGCTCATCTTCCTGGTAGGCACCACAGTTGAGGGATCCTGTCAAACAAATCGGGGGTGTGCCTATCCCTCCACACCTCAGTGCCTGACCCGGGGGTCAAGGGGAGCACCCTGGGATCGGTCTCGAAGGGCCATTTTTGTTTCCCAGCCAATGCACCAAATGTGGTGGAAAACCAGATGGCTGGGGAACAAAAAAGGCAGCACTCCAGAGAGATAGAGGTAACTCTAATACACCGGTGGGTGTAGAAGAGTTAACACTCAGAATCTCTGGCCCCACTTGGGGGTCCAGCACTGTCTTTTATCATGAAGTTTGGGGAGGCGCAATTTCCAGCATGCTAAGGGTAGCCTATCATGGAGAACCAGCTCATCAGAAAGATGTAGCCCAGAGTTTGTTCTCAGGAAGAAAGGGTCAGATAAGCAGGGTGTTCAGTTTCTCAAGGTCTCAGATTGTTTTATCACTTCAGAGGGGGAGGGAGAGGCAGAGAATTCACAGAGGCCTGGGATGGCAATGGTAGCCCTTGGGCTATTGTGAATTCTGGGCCCATCTACATCAGAGTGGGCAGGTTTTGCTTTGTAGTGGAAGTCTTTGTAGGAGAGTCAGGACAGGGTCTAGGAGGCTGTCTTTCCTCAGAGTTGAGAGAAATTCATATCCCAGTTGCCAGAGACAGACCTTGTAACCTGACACCTACTCTGCCTATCCACCTCTACAGGGAAAACCCTCCCAATGTCCCTGTACCCTCCCTCCTGTGAACAGTGTCACAACACAGACAAAGATTGGGTGTACTTCCCAAAGGAAGACCATTCCAGTGTCTGCCTAACCGTGTCCTTTGTGGGCTTTGTGTGTTTCCTTGACAATAGGTGGTTGGATATAGAACCGCCACCAGATAACACAGGTAGAGAGGGAAGGGGGCCCTCAACATGTAATACTGCCACTGAGTCTTTACAGAAACACCACAGAAATGCAGTAACAGACTCACTTGTGCCCCATGGTGCAATGCACTGTGGAACCACAAACACAGTTACTCTCACACTCACATTCACTCAGGTTGCACATTCCCTTCCCACAGGAACTGAATTATCAGAGTTGGTCAGAGGCCAACAATTACCAGATGAGCCTCAGCCCTGACTGCTTGTCCTATGATCAAAGGATAGTGTATGATTCTCCTCTTCCACTCTTTTTTTTTTTTTTTTGAGAGATTTTCACTATAGGGCACGTGCGCTCACCAGACAGAGAGAGAGAGACATAGAGACAGAAAGTGAGAAATCACCCCCCAGGGGGGATAGTCACACCGCAATCCCTTCTCCTCCATTCTCCTCTCGGGATCTTGGGCACGCACGCACACGCACCCGGCGTGAGTTTTAAGCCACCGGGTCCGAGATACGAACTGTGGTCGACTACGTGGGAGTCCAGCGACATAGCCATTATGCTAACTGCTGGTTCCCTTCCACTCTTAAGTGAATGGGCTGACTGATACTGGATGAGTCTTGACTGCTGGTCTTGCAAACAAGGAGTGTGTACCATTGTCCCCTTCCACTGTAACTGAGTGGGTTAACTGATAAGACTCTCCTAATCCCTGGGGGGCTTGCCTGATTACCAGAGCTGACCAGAGAAGATGCATCCAGGTACAGAGTAAGAGTTGGTTCTTCTCCCCAACTGGAGTCCAATGATCCAGGAATGCTCATACTCTGGGTGGGCATCCCTCCTGGGGGATTCCGTCAAACAAGCTGGGGGTGTACTTATCCCTCCACACCACAGTGCCCATCCTGGGGGTGGGGGAAGGCACCCTGGGGTCAGTGGCTCCAAGGGCCAGTCTGATTTTCGTTTCCAGACCAACATACCAAGTGTTGTGGAAAACCAGATGGCCGAGCAATAAAAAGGCAGCATCCTGGAGAGATAAGGGTAACTCTTTAATTCACCGGCAGGTATGAAGGAGTAAACACTCAGAATCTCCATCCCTGCTTGGGGGTCAAGCACAGTCTTTTATTAGGAAGTTTGGGAACAGGCGGTTACCAGCGGGCTAAGGGGTAGTCTATCAGGGAGACACACCCATTGTGAAGATGCAGCCCGGAGTTTGTTCTCAGGAAGAAAGGGTCAGATAAGCAGGGTGTTCAGCTTCTCAAGGTCTCAGATTGTTTTATCACATCAGAGGGGGAGAGGCAGAGGCAGTGAATTCACAGAGGCACAGAGACCTGGAATGGCAATGGTCAGCCTTGGGCTATTGGGAGTTCCGGGCCCAGCCACATTAATCTAATGTATGCTTTTTGTATGGATAGAATTCTATTGTTCTAACATGAGGTCTCATGATACCTGTTGTAAAATACATACTCTGTGGTGCCACAGCACACCACAAGACATCTGCCTTTAACCACCTTGCTTATCAACCAATAACACTTACTGACCTAGGAACAGAACTCTGTTGTAGCTAAGTAAGGAGTGACCATGAAGGCCTCATAAACAAAGGGTGGGGCAGGGCAGCGCTGGGTAGGCTCTTGGTTGCTAAGGGCTCTTGCCTATGTGGCAGAGCTTGCCATAATGGCTCAGGCACCCTACCGGCCTGGGCCGCTGTGCCCCAAGGCCTCACTTGTCATGTCCCGGCTATGCCTCTGGACATGGTACTTCCTCGCGTTGCAACCATTGTGGTTGCTCATCCAAGGGGGTCAGTCTTCAGACTGGGCCCAAGTCCCAGACCAGGTGATGTCCGTCTCCCAGGGGCCGACTGAGTCCTGGTCTTTTCACCCCTCCCATCATCCACCCAAATCACCCTATATTTTGAAACCCCCGGCAGACCCTGGGGGAATTGACTACTTGAAGCCTTCTGCACCTTCTCTAATGTCGGCCCCGCCAGGACTACCTCAGGAGTTAGGTGAAACTTTAGCTCCAATCATGGACACGGATTCACCCCAAGAGCTGCCCCCAGGGCCAGATCGGTTTGCTGTTCCACATCAGGAAGTTCGTGACAAGTTCACCCGGCACGAAAGACTTCCAGAAGTGGTTCCAATAATAGACTGGGGTCAGAACCAACATCAGGATGCAGATCACCAGTGGTTGAAAATACCTGTTCCGTCTCTGGATAGTCAGAGTACAAAAACAGCAAAGTTTGTTTCATCCTCGAATCTGAAAAAATATTTCACTCAGTATCGTCGTTTTGCCAAGGTTATGGCTGGATCTCCAGACCAATTTGTATCCGTACCTCAGCATCGACGACCTACCTTGTTACAGGTGGACTCATTTGAGCCTCCAGAGTCACCCGAGCAAGTTGAAACTTCACAATTCCATCTAGAAACCAAGACTCAAAATTCTGAGGAGGAGCAGATCTCTTCACCCCAGAAAGAGGCACCAGCTCCATCTCCACAGCCCCTTGCAGAG